GAATGCATAAACTGACTTACCATGCTAACAACAAATGCTATATCAGGACGAGTGTGTGACAAGTAGATTAGTCTTCCCACCAGTTTCTGATATTGTTTTTTATTAACACAATCTATTTTATTTGTCACTTGTAACCTTTTATTTGGTTCAATCGGAGTTTCAGCTGTTTTGTACCCAAGCATTCCGGTTTCATTGAGTAAGTCGAGTATATACTTTCGCTGATTAATAAAGATCCTCTCCTTAGATCTGACAATCTCAATACCAAGAAAGCATTTTCCCAGATTTTTAATCTCGAACTATGTGGTCAATCTTTCTTTTAATTTCTCAATTTCCCTAGCATCATCTCCTGTAAGGATAATATCATCTACATAGACAATGAGTATAGCGAGTTTACCAATTTCTGAATGTTTGTAGAACATAATATGATGACTCTGAGTGTATCCATATGTTGTAATCACCTGTTGAAACCTCTCAAACTAGGTGCTAGGAGATTGCTTGAGCCCGTACAATGATTTCTTTGATTTGCACACTTTGTCTTCTCCAAAATTCTTCTCAAATCCTGGTGGAAGATCCATGAATACCTCTTCCTCTAATTCACCGTTTAGAATAACGTTTTTTACGTCGAGCTGATGCAGGGGCCAATTATAGTTTGCTGCTATGGACAGTAAAACCTTAATAGAATTGATCTTGGCTACCGGAGCGAATGTCTTATGATAGTCAATTCCATGAGTTTGAGTGAATCCTTTCGCTACTAATCTTGCTTTATATCTTTCGATACTCCCATCAGCTTTGACTTTAGTAGTGAAGATCCATTTACACCTAACAGTAGACTTGTTTCTTGGTAGAGTGACAGTTTCTCATGTCCCATTTTTCAAAAGAGCATCAATCTCTTCCTTTACTGCTATTCTCCAATTTGGATTACTAAGAGCTTCCTGTATTGTTCTAGGTTCAGACATATTAGAAATTTTTGACAAAAAAACTTGATGTTTGTGTGAGATTTTTTTGTAGGATAGGTATTTTGAAATGAGATATTTGGTAGTACAAGAACGTGTTCCTATTCTAAAGGCTATAGGAAGATCCAGATTCATAATCTCTGAATCTTGAGCTTCTGTTGGTGAAAAAATAAGACCAGGATCAGAAATTACCTGTGTTTCTTGAGGACCATCATTCGGATTGGAAGGGAGCTAAAGATTCAGTTTGAACTTTTTTTCTTTTATGGAGCCTCTCCCTGGAATAAATAAGAGGTTCTGCTATTGTATTGTGCTGTATTTCTCCCCCTGTATTAGACAAGATATTTTCAGGTTTCTCTTGACTAGGATTCTCGTTATTTTCAACAAGTATTTCTGGTTCTTTATTTTCACAGACCTCAGGTGTACTTGATGTTACAACAATTTTTGGTAATGGGTTAGAAACTTGCCAAAAATCTTCTACTCCATCTATATCATACTCCTCATGAAGTGGATTTTTGTGAAAGAAGGGAATTTTTTCCATGAAGGTCACATCCATACTAATGTAAATTTTTTTTATGACAGGATTGAAGCATTTGTAACCCTTTTTGTTTGAGGTATATTCAAGAAAAATGCATTTTTCAGATTTTGAATCTAATTTTGATCGGCAATTATTCGGAATATGAACGAAACATGTGCATC